ATACTTGAAAGATAATAATATTCATTTTAAAAAACATTAATAATTTTTTTTAAGTTCTAATTTAATTTAAATAAAAATATAATAAAATAAAACTATAAAACTGATATTATTTATATTAAAGAAAATTACTCTTTATGAATACTTTTTTTATTTTCTTTATCATAACACTTAAGATATTACCCCAAGTTAATTGCATACAATTAGAGGCGTATGATGTGTTAAACAGAGAGTTTAACAATGCGCTGGAAGGGTTTCATGATTTGTTAGAACAAGCAATTGGATATAGCTCTATTCCTACTAACTTAGGTTTTCATAAACTGACAACTAAACTTGAATTTAAAGACTTTATACCTACAAACACTAACGACAGAATTAAATACTATAAGAACTTGCTTAATCTTTTCCCACCTTCGATGCCTTTATTTCATTTAGGCATTACTTCTCATGACATTACCTATTATAGTTTACCTAACCAAGGATCTAATGCTAAATCAAAATTCAGTCTAATGCTTCGCGATGCATTATTATTATATAAAGGTATTATTATGGATTTAAGTCCTACTTCTCTGGTTTGTCTAATTACATATATTAGATTATAAAAAAATAGTATTAAGAATAATTTAGGTAAATGCTGGTAAATTATTATATCAATTAGGTGTTGATAGAACATCTCTTTTTCAGGTATTATATAGTATAGCCTATGAATTCAAGGATGGAAATTTATATGCTCTTTGTGGAGGAATAGTAGAGTATGATGGAATAAGTAATGAATTACGAGAAAAACTATCAGATGCAAAAAATAATGAAGAGTTTGCATATAAATTATATAGTTTAGCTGAATTTTATAATAGTGATGCTGGGTTAATAATGAAATTAACAATGCAAATAAAAAAAGGTGAAACTCATTATGTTTCTAAACTACAAATGATGAGTAACTTTAATCAACTTGCTAGACATCAACTAGTTAACTTAGCAAGCGATAATTTTATTACATTACAAAAAGATGATATAAATACAACTAATATATGGATAGAAACACTCTCTGATTTTGTTCAGTTAACTAAAAGAACTAATCTTTTTAATCATTTAACACTTTCGAGTATAGAAGAATCATTTCAAGAAAGTTTTATTCCATTTTTTTTATTAGGAGAATTAGCAAATGATATATCTGATATTAGTCCAGTAAGTTCATGCATTTTATGGAAATATTTATCAGATATTGGATATGATTATGCTACACTGAGTCTTATAAGTATTTTATCAGAATCTTCTTTAGCAAGAGAATATCATTCTGTTAACTTATCTTTATTTATAAATGATCTTATTAGTAAAGTTCAACCATCACTTAAGGCTAAGGTTTTATCTAAAAATTTTGAAGGGTTGTTATATAAACAATTATCTAAAATAAGTTTCGATTTAAATAAGACAGATGAAGGAAAGGCATATTTAATTAAAGCATCAGCTAGCCATGAAGTTAATTCATTAATTTCTCTTATATTAATGTATCAATATGGTGTGTATTTTGACAAAGACGAATTCCGTGCGATTGAATTATTAGAAAGTATTAAACCTGAAAAGAGTTTACAAACATTTCTCAAAATACCGGACATTCTTTATGAAGATAAGTATGGAATGGCATATTCGTTACTTTGGATTAACTATTTGGTGGACCAATTCTTTTTCAGAGTGTTGGATAGGATCTATTTTATTATTGGAATTATCATATGTGCTTTAATTTTAAAATATTTCATTAAAAGAATATCAAATAATTAAATTTAATTTCTTTTTTGGTATTATTCTTTTTTTGTTTTTTATATTTTGTGTTGAAAAATGTTATTTAATTAAAATTAACTATTGCTTTTTTGATTCTTATTTTTTTTCTATAAATAAATTTGGTTTATTCTATTTTAATTTTTTATTTTTGTAAAAAGAAGTGATTAAAAATAAATTAATTATTTGATGTTTTATTTTATATTATCTCAGTTACTTGAAACTGTATTATTATAAATATTTACTTTGTTCTCAATATATATAACATTTATAGTTTAAAATAGCAAATATAACAAAATTTAGTCACTAATAAAAAGAAGAGAATGAAACCAAAAAATAATAAAATCAATTTAATGGCTTAAACTTGTTTCTAACACAAGTTAGATTGTAAAACATTTACTTTTCTTAACAAATAAAATTGTGACATATTTTTCATTCTCTTGAGAAATTATTTCTTAATCTTCTCCCATATTTTCCAAAATACTATGAAATATTTCCTTAATTTTTTTATCTTCTTAAGAAATAAACTCTTTATATTTATTTATAACCTATTTCTTTTCAAAAATTTATTCAATACTATAATCATTCAATATTCATTAACTAAAGAATTGTTTTTAGGAACAGTATTGTTATAATGTTCTTAATTCTTTTTTCTAATATTGTATTTATTTATTTTATTTAGAAAGTTAACATTTTCTAGTTTTGTCATTTTATTCTTGTTTTATTTATCTTACTTGAGTATTATATCTGAATATACATATTCTATATAGCTCTTTGTGATTTATTCTTTATTTATTATTATTCTTTTTGTATTTTTTTTTATTTTGTTATTTTCTATCTCTTTTTAATACTTTTTAATACATTCTCTTATTATTTCATCTTTTCTTGTTTGTTTTCTTGTTTGTTATATATTATATTTCCATCTTCTTAAATATTAGAGAATGAAAATCTTTTTAGTTTATTTTCTATTTAATTATTCTTATTATTATCATTTCATATTAATTAATTATTTATTTGATTTTATCATTTGATTATTACTTTTTGTTTTATATAATTTTCAATAATATCAACTTCTTGAATTTATTTTCTTATATCTATTATATTTCTATTTTTAAAGTTATTAATAACTCATCTTTATTATATCTTTTTTATATGATATAATATTTAAATTGTTTGTTATTAATTCTTTATTATTATAATTAGAATATTTATGAAGTACTGATAATTATTTATGTTTTGATAATCTTTTCTCTTTCTTTCTTATTCTTTATTCTTATGTGTTACATATTTATTCGATACTTCTTTGTTTTACATTCATTTCTTTGTTGAATATTATTTCTTCTGTTATTTATTTCATTTAACTATTTATTTTAATTTATTATTCAATCTGTTTGAATTAATATTGTAATAATTCTTATTGAGTTTATTACTTTATTTCACTACTCTTAGTTCATTGTTCTACACCTACTCCATTCTTTCATTATTTCTTTATTCGATATTCTTATTTTAATTTATTTTAATATTTATCATCACTTCATTCCTTTATTATATTTTATTTTTAATTAATATTTTATATTCATTATTGTTCTCTTTTTATTCCGTCTATCATTTTATTTCATTTATACTATATTTTCTATGTCTTATTATAATGTTTGTTCTTTATAATTGATTCGATTTTCTATTTATTTCTTAATTAGTTTTGATAATTAAATACATAAAGTGTTGTTCTTCTATATTATCTTCTTTTCATTGTGATTTTCAGTGTTTAT